CTTAAAGCTCCTCCAGTCCCAGGGGCAGGGACACCTCCCACACCTCCCACCAGCCCAGAGAGCTCCAAACCCCTTCCAACGAACTCTGCCCCCCTCCAACCTCCCACACTCCCTCTGGAATTCCCAACCCCCCCGCCTGGCACGGGGCTGCATCCACAGGGGGACACTTCCCTGCTTCTGAAAAGCTGGAACAGCCTCCCCCAGCCCTGCAGATGCAGGGAGGGTTTTCCAAAAGCAGGATTTGGAGCTGCTGAGCTGCTCACTGGCCGCTCTGCTCTTGGCCAGGAGAGCCTTGGGCTGATCCAGCTTTTTTTTCCTGGCCATGGGAAGCCCTGGAGTTGCTCTGACCAACTTTTTTTTTTCAGCTGCTGGCAGCAAACCCTGCAGCCTCTCAACCAACCTGAGCCCTTCTCTGAGCCACAATCCCACTTTTTTTTTTTTTTTTTTTTGAGGAATTCATTTATTCCTTTTGGATTCTCCCAAGTACCATTTTTAGTTTAACTTCGAGTTCCAAGCTCTGCAGCCAAGGAAAAAGCTGGACAAACACACAGTTAAGAGAGAATCTTCTCTTGCCCAGGCCCAGAAACCAGCAGATTTCACACTAAACATTCCACAAAATTAAGATATGTGAGAAGGAAACACAGTCACAGCCAGTGTAACACAGGGATATTCCTACTGATGGAAATATTTCGGTATATCCGGTCAATAATTCACTTTTTTCCATAGTTTGGACCATTTTTTCCAGCCCAAATGGCTCCTCTTTGTCCTTGATTTAAATAAATACCTGCCTTGGGAGCAAAAACCACCTTTATATATAAATACTCCCTTTAGGGAGGGACCCTAAAGCTCCCAAAGTCCCACCTTCCACCAGCCCAGGTTGCTCCAAGTTGCTCCAACCTGGACTTGGACACTTCCAGGGCTCAGAGTCACTCATGGAAAACTCTAATTCCCTCTTTTCCAAGGCTCCTGCCATTGCCACTCTCAGTGCTGGCTTTTGATTGCAGATTAATTAATCTGCAGGTTAATTAATTAATTAATTTAATTCCTGGGCAGCTTTGGCAAACCAACCATTCCAGCAGCACGGGAGTGAGACAGGGGGGTGAAGTGAAAAAATAAATCCAGTAGGAGAGTCATTCCAGCTGGGATAACTCCAGATGACCTGGAAGGGGAGGGAGGGAGGTCTGAGGGAGGTCTGAGGGCGCCTTTGGTGAGGAAATGGGGGTGGGTTTGTGCTCCTAAAAGCTCTCCCGTGAGCCAGGACTGATGCAGGGCTCGGAGGGGATCTCTCAGAGAGAGATGACACCAAGCTGGGGGGAGTGTCCATCAGCTGGAAGGCAGGAGGGCTCTGCAGAGGGACCTGGAGAGGTTGGATCCATGGGCTGATTCCAAGGGGATGAGGTTCAA